CCAGACTCCCTCGCGTTGTGAAAAAAAAAAACACGGCGGGAGGTTTTGCGCTATGTTCGGCCTCCGGGGGGCCCTTGCCGGGCCTCGGGGCCGTCAAAAAACGACTCAGGATGAAAAACCTGTCCTGGGGAAGGGGTCGAGGGCCCAGGATCTGTGTATACGCCCTCCTTGCTTGGGCAGGAGGGCCTTCACGCCGATCCTAAGCCCAGGATCGGGCCAGGGTCGGTGCAGGTGTACAGCGGGACCCCTCGAAGCCCGAATCCGGCCAGAGACCGCTCAGAACGGGCCCCCAGACCCCTCCTGGGAGCCCTGGCCAGTTCTTCCAGCTGCGTCCAATCGCGGCAACAGGGCGCCCCTGCCCCAAGGTCAGGACTTGGGCACAGGAGGAGGAGGAGGAGGAGGAGGAGGAGGAGGAAGGGAGGAAGAGGAGGAGGAAGAGGAGGAGGAGGAGGAGGAGAGAGGAGGAAGGGAGGAGGACGGGAGGAAGAGGAGGAGGAGGAGGAGGATGGCCCTTGCTGGGCACCGGCAGGCGACCAAAATAGACGGGTCCCACGCACGATGGCATGGCGGCCTGACGCCGCGGCTCACGCGGGCCGCCAGCGCGGCACGCCACGTTAGAAACGCCATTGCACCGACGTTGCAAGCGTGCTGCAGCGGAGCCTCGCGTGGGCTCCTGTCGATGCAGAGCCCCGCAGCGGCGAACGGAAAACGATGTGAATTTCGCGTGGATGTTCTGTAGTCTTCATTCCTGGCCCGAAAAATCCGCACTAAATGCAGCTCGAGTTCCGGAACGAGATTCTCAGGGACCATCTGGGCCCGATTCATTGTTTTCCGAACGAACTTTCCTCTGCGATGTTGGCGCCATGAGAAGCGAGGGCGCGCACGCGCGACCTTACGCGGTCAGCTCACGCGCCAGTATCCGCGCAGGCGACCCCGTTTCTCCGCGTCGCTCGGGTGCAGCGGCGCGCGGGCGTCCTCCGCGGCCCATATCACGGCGAGGAGCGCAGCGAGGCTGAGGCGATAACGCCAGGGGGGGCCAGCTCAGGTTGGCGGCACGCACAAGGGGGTAGGGGATAGGGGGAGGGGGGAAGACTTCTTAGGAGGAAGCTGCTTCTTAGAAGGCGCCCGCCCTACATCTTCAGACAAGGCCCGCCACTTCGAAGAAGCAGGGGTGTTTCTAAGAAGCCTTCCCCCCTCCCCCTACCCCCCTCCGCGCATGGCCGATCAGGGGGGAACATCGGGCTTGACTCGGCGATACATCGCCGATAGATCGGCGATAGGCCCTGAGCGGGGTGGACAATCGGGCCCCTATCGATGTTCCATGGGCGTTCGGGGGTCGCTGCTTCCCCCCTGGGCCTACCCCCCTCAAAGATCCTCGTCGTCTGTCTTTCGGGCCATAGCTCGACGCTCTGGCGGCCGTTCGGGGCGATCTGGGCAGCCCCGAAAAGCCTGTGGCACAACGCAGCTGCTGGAAACCACCCCCAGACTCGAAAACTTCAGAAACCGCTCGAAAACATTCGAAAAAACTTCCCCCCTGACCCTGAGATCCGAGGTTGCAAAAAATGCAGCATCGCGGAAAATCATGAACAGGGCCCCAGATCCCAGCTCCATGCCGCATGTCTCGAACCCGATCGATCCGTCACGGCCGCGGGGCCCGATGCCAGGCGAAATCGCCAGGTGTGAAAAACTTGCAACGCCTGGATCTCAGGGTAGGGGAGCGCACTCCCCCTTGACGTTGCCCCTGATGAGGCGGCCTCCGCCGGCGCGGACGGCGGGCCACTGCATCGAGGAACCAGGTCGGCGCCGGCCGGCCCCTCACCGGGCCTGCAATGCCTGCATCCGCTCCTCTGCCGAACGGAGGGGCGGGAGAGCGGCCATGGAGGAAGACTGCAAGTGGAGGAGGAGGAGGAGGAGGACGACGACGACGACGACGAGGAGCAGAGTAGGATGGCACCCTCAGATTGGGTCCCATGCATCGTCACCGGGACCAAGAACCCAGGAGGAGGAGGAGGCGGAGGAGGAGGCGGAGGCGGAGGCGGAGATGGAAGAGGCGGAAGAGGCGGAGGAGGCGGAGGAGGAGGGATGGAGGGAGCGAGGGGGGAGGCACAGGGAGGGAGGGGGGAGGAGGAGGGAGAGGAGGAGGAGAGGAGGAGGAGGAGGAGGAGGAGGAGGAGGAGGAGAGGGAGGGGAGGAGGGGGCCGAGGTGCAGGGTGGAGGTGGAGGAGGAGGAGGAGGAGGAGGAGGAGGAGGAGGAGGAGGAGGAGGGCGGAGGTGCAGGGTGGAGGTGCAGGGTGGAGGTAGAGGAGGAGGAGGAGGAGGAGGAGGAGGAGGAGGAGATGAGGATGGAAGTGGAGAGAGCAGGAGGGTGGGGGAGAAGGAGGAGGGTGGGGGAGAAGGAGGAGGAGCAAGAGGAGCAAGAGGAGGACGACGGAGCTGAGGTAGAGAGTGGGGGCGGTGGTATTCTCGCCAGGCAGGCGCACCCCATCGGGCAGGCAGGGCTGGGAGAAACTCGTGAATGGTGCACGGCCATGCAGTCACAGGGCGGCGCCCGCGGGACGACGACGCCGACAACAACGACGACGACGACGACGACAACGACGACGACGACGACGACGACGACGACGACGACGACAACGACGACGACCACCACCACGACCACGACCACGACCAAGACCACGACCACGACCACGACCACGACCACGACCACGACGACGAGCACATCATCGAGCCGCGGTCATTACGTCTCGCACTCCAAGCGCCCCTCGCCCTCTCCTGATGCCCTGCCGGGCCAAAGCACGGAGGACACTCGTCGGGCCCTCGTTTCGCGACAGGGGTGTGCTTCCTCCCAAGTATTCCCACTCCATCGCGTGGAGGCGTGGCGGGTGAAGGAGAAAGGATGAGTCATGGACCGCAGAAGCACGTCGGAAGCCCCCCTTTGGGGCATCTTGCGTGGCACTTGCACGTCAGGGATAGCCGTTGTGCACGCCACCTTGGACCCACAGCGGACAAGTTAACCAATGCGATCGGATCCCGTTCCCCGTAAGTTCGGCGGGACTGGGCGGATCCCTGTTCCATTGCAGCATCTCCGCTCGGATTCTTCCGCTGTGGCGCCGATCAAAACTGCTGCCTGCTCCCCGATTCCCTGCCGCCCTACCCAGATTCCTTCCGACACCCTCCCTCAATGTCCCATACACGATCGTCTTCCCCCCACTCCCTCTTCACAGAACTTCCTTCAATCCCCTCGATGATCCGTCCTCCCCGTCCCTGCCCCACCCTAGAAGAAAGAAAGCCATTAACATAAACTTTTGGCGCTCCGCGCAGATTTCTTGGATCTGCGCTGACCCCCCTCCATAGCGCGCGGAGCGCGCCAGGAGCGGCGCCAGAGGCGCCGCCGGGAGGAACCAAGCGCGGATTCAAGAAATCCGCGCGGAGCGCCAAAGTTTATGTTTATTGCGTTTTTCTTCTTCGGGATCCTCGACCCTCGCATTCCACCTCGCCTCCTCCCATTCCCGCCCGTTCCACACGCCCTCCATGTCCTCCTCCTGCCCCTGCCTCCTCACCGGTCCTGGAACGGGTCCCCCGCGCCGACAATCTGGTGCGGGTGCGCAGGTGGCGGCGCCGCCACTGGGGCGCTGGGCACTGGAGGCCGTCTTGTTGCCAGTGCCAAGTGGGTGGGGAAGCCCTGCGAGGGGAGGAGTGCCCGTCGAGCTGAAGGTAGGCCCTCCCACCTCAGTCCCCGCGTTCTCTACCCTCCCTTTCTCACACATGCCCTCCCTGACACACCGGGCACCCCATTCCTCTCTTTCGCTCGCCAGGCCCAGATCAGGTCACTAACGGCCAGTTGCCTATCTTATGAGCGAGTTCCTCCACAGCCCGCGCCGCCTCCTCTATGGTAACCGCCTCCGCTGTAAAGGAAAGAACTGGATCGCTCATGCACGGCCCGACTGGCGCTGAAAAAACACATCCCGATCTGACAGCAATCTCCCACCACCACTCCTCGACCAGCATGCTCACGCAAGTCTTCTGCCGCCCAAGCCCCATCGGCGAATGCCACCGTCCGTGCCCGGCTCGAGCACAGCAGGAGCAGGATCTGGGTCGGGGCGGGGGAGGGGGGAGGGTGAATAGGCGGCGGCATCCGAACCCTGCCCCCACCGACCACCGACTCTCCTGAACCGATGGGAGGCGGGGGTGGGGCTCGGAGCTCGCCACGTGCTCGACGCAGCCCGAGCCCTGCCCCCGCCGCCCACCGAGCTGCCAGCACCGCTGCTCGGCGAGGGTGGGGCTCGGCCTCCGCCGCCAGTGGAGAGGGGGGGAGCTGGCGAGGCAGCGAAGGGCCCCTGGGCGGCCGCGCGCAGCCCGCCCGGCGAGCACGGGAGCTGCTCGCGCGAAGACCGCACCCTCACCCCGCCGGCGCCGCCAGCACGGCCACGGGACGGACCCCCTGCAGCCCTCGATGCCCCCCCCCCCACGATTCACTGCCCCCCCCCAAAAAAAATATACCCCCCCCCCCCCAACGTTTATCGCCCCCCGCCCCCCCGATTGCGAAAGGCCCGAGCCGCCCGGAGACGCCAGGTCTCCGGCAGCTCTGCCGGGCGGCCGACGTCTTCGCCTCCTGTCCGCAGGAGGGGGCGCCCGACGCGCGCGCGCGGCAAGAGAGGGCAAGGGGCATCCTGCGTGGCGCATGCCCCCACCTGCGGAGGCGCCGGCCATCAGCTGGGAGCGGTCGAGCACGAGCTCGTCCATGACCTGCGGGGCGCTTCAGGTAGAGAAGGAGGAGGAGAAGAAGGAGGAGGAGGAGAAGAAGGAGGAGGAGAAGGAGGAGGAGGAGTGAGGAGGGAGGATGGAGGAGGGAGGAGAGAGGAGGGATGAGGGAGATGATGGAAGATGGAGGAGAAGGCGGCGGACCTGAGGAATCCGCTATGGGCGAATGTGCGCCTGCAACCAAGGAGATATTCCCAAAATATGTTTCTCAAGGCTAACGGGTACCTAAACCGCGGTAGGCGAGGAGGGAGGGAAAGAGGAGGAGGAGAGGAGGAGGAGGAGAGAGGAGGAGGAGGAGGAGGGGAAGACGATAACCACGACGATGACGACGACGACGACGACGACGAACGACGACGACGACGACGACGAGGCGAAGGGAGGAGGAGGGGGGAGGAGGGGGGAGGGGGACGAGGGGGACGAAGGGGGCGAGGGGGACAAGGGGGAGGGGGGTGGGTGGAGGGGGAGCAGGAAAAAGCAGGGGTAGGGGAAGAAGAATTTTGACGACGACGCCGAAGCCGACGCCGACGCCGATGCCGATGCCGACAACGACGACGACGACGACGACGACGACGACGACGACGACGACGACGACGACGACCAAGACGAGGAAAAGGAAAGGGAGGAGGAGGAGGAGGAGGAGGAGGAGGAGGCAGAGGAGCAGGAGGAGGAGGAGGAAGAAGAGGAGGGGGAACGGGAGAAAGAACAGGAGGATGAGCAGCAGCAGGAGGAAGCGAGGAGGAGGAGGAGGAGGAGGGACGAGGACGAGGACGAGGAGGGGGGGAAGAGGAAAAAGAGGAGGAGAGGAGGAGGGGGACGAGGAGCAGTGGAGGAAAGAGGAGGAGAAGCGTGGAGCGCGGAGGGAGGAGGAAGGAGCGCGGAGGGACGAGGAAGACGAAGAGGAGGAAGAGGATACCTAAAAGCGAAGAGGACGATGGGGGGCAAGTTCTAAGCGCGTTGGAAGCGAATCCGAACGGCGGCCCCTCGAGCGCTCGTGCGAGAACAGGGGCGCGGGCCGCGCCCTCGCAGATGCCTGCCCGGGACGGCCCCCGGGGAGGGGGGCCGCAAGGGGCTCTCTTGGAGCCCTGCTCGAAGAAACGTCGCGACGGGGGGAAGGGCGCCGGCCGCCTCGGGGGGTGGAGGGGGGGGGGCCCCAATTAAGGGGGGGGAGGACGAAAGACGACGACTCTCTCGGCGGGGGGGGGAGAGACGCTGCCTCGCCCTTCAAGAGCACGTGGGCGTGCGGGCGGGCGGCGGCGGGGGCGGCCGGGGGGGCGCTCTCGTAGACGGGCCACTTACCCTCCAGTTCATCCGGTGCCACGCCACGACATGCAATGCGATGATGTCTGTGCACCGCTGTGCGATGCCATGCTTTGCGTTGCTATGCTTTGTACGCCATGCTATGACATGCTATGACATGCTATGCTCTGCCGTGCTCTTCTACGCCACGCTTTTCCATCCGTCGCGTACCCTCTTGGAATCACTGCCCTGCTCGACATCCGACTGTGCGAGTAGGTGGGAGGTCTACGCCACGGCAAGGGATGCGGGGGAAGGGTAGGATATCAGACGTGACTCTCCCTCTCCCTACCTCCGGGATCCCCCGACCCCCTCGAGTCGTGACGAAAAACACGACGGGAAGTCCCTGCTATCTTCGGCCGCTGGGTCACCTCACCGCGCCCTCGAAAGGTCAAAAAACCTACGCGGGATGCAAGACTGGTCCCCAGCCCTATCTAGATGACTACCGTGTTTTTTCAATGTTCCCCGACCCCCCCCCCCCCACTGGAAATGGAGGGCAAATTGAAGCCTTCGGGTTGGGTTGGGGTGGTTTGGTGGGTGGTGACTAGAGAGGTAAATGCCGATGCTGCACCATGCAGAGCTGTACCGCCCAGGCCAGAGCACGACACCAGCTGGGACGTCGACTGCACGCGGCGTCTGGCCATCATCAAACACAGGAGTGGCGAGGGAGAAGAGCAAAGAAGGGTCCACGATCTGTTACACTGATACGAGTTTAACAGTATCGCCTCATCGACCTTAAGAGAGTCCAAGACGGCCAAAGAAGCCGCAAAAATCGCACGTACACCAGCCCTCGAGGTCCCCAGCGGGGGGCCCAAGAAGCAACCAAGACATCCCAAACCATGCAACAACAAAAAACACGCGCCACCACCAGAACGCCGGAAGCCTCCCCTCCAAGATGGGCACAAGACATTCCAGAGGCCTCCGAGATACTCCCAAATGGCAGCCAAGAGGCCTTTAAGAGCCGCAACTGACCCCAAAAAGGCTCCCATGAGGCCCCAACGGCACCCACGAGCAGCTCCGCAACAGACATCGACCACCACTACCGCACCCGTCCGACCCCCCGCACATCCCCCCGCATGTCGCGTCATTGCTGACCTCGTTCCGCCATCGAAACTATCAGCGAGGCCCTTGCAACAGGAAGGAAAAGGAAAGAGGCGGAGGCAGGGGAGGAGGATGCGGGAGAGGGGGGAAAAAGGAAAACGATGTTTGGGAAGGGAAGCGAATGGCAGGGGTAGCATGAACTTCTGCATTGATGCAGACAAGAGCGCTCGTTGACGTCTCGGCGCACTTTGATGGCGCTTGCCGCCTTCTGCACCTCCGCATCTATCTCGCGCTCGTCGTCGGACTCCTCGTAGAACTCCTCCATCATATCGTCCACCACCTCCCGGGCTCGCGGCTCGCTGTGGGAATCTCAACTGAGGTTCTCTACACCCTGGAACCTCGTCAAACCTCCCGCGTTTCGCGTCAGCTCAGATATAAGAGGCCTTCGACAGCCGTTCTGCGCCCGCCATTTGGGAGGCAGTTACGCCACCACGGAGGTGCACGCTTGAGCTGTCACGACGCAGTTCATACCAGCTCGAACAGACTAGCCGTTGCGTTCCGAATGCCCGACTACCTTCACGTCTGACCACTTTCCCCACATCAACTTGCCCTGTCTCTCATAATCCTTCTCTGGCCGATCCATGTGCCGCGTTACATGTTTCAAAGCTGAACATATTGAGCGTGCCGCGGGTCTGAGCAACCTCAGCATCAGATCGCCCCAGCTAACAGCTGACAACTCACGCCGGACCCCCGCCCCGTCTGCACATCCTCCTCACCTCCTCCCTCCCGCCCCCTCGCTCGACTGCATGTCCCCATCTTGTCAGGAGAACAGTCAGATGCTCGAGCTGGGGGCGCGAGAAGGGAGGAGCGAAAACGATGGGAGAGAGAGGAGTGGGGAGCAGAGAGGGGGGGGGGGCGAAGCTGGCCCCTCGGGAGCCGACGGTCCGAGGCACCGCCCCGCCGCAGGCCTCCGCTCGGGCCATCTCCACGCGCATCTCCTGCATGGTCCGCTGCAGCTCGGGCACGCTGGCCAGCCGGTTCATCTCCTGCGGGCGCCCAAGAGGAGGAGGAGGAGGAAGAGGAGGAGGAGGAGGAGGAGGAGGAGGAGGAGGAGGAGGATCAGGAGGAGGCGAGGAGGAGGAGGAGGGGAGGAGGAGGAGGAGGAGGAGGAGGAGGAGGAGGAGGAGGAGGGAGGAGGAGGAGGAGGAGGAGGAGGAGGAGGAGAGGAGGAGGAGGAGGAGGAGGGGAGGAGGAGGAGGAGGAGGAGGAGGAGGAGGAGGAGGAGGAGGAGGAGGAGGAGGAGGAGGAGGAGGAGGAGGAGGAGGAGGAGGAGGAGGGAGGAGGAGGAGGAGGAGGAGGAGGAGGAGGAGGAGGAGGAGGCGGAGGAGGAGGAGGAGGAGGAGGAGGGGAGGAGGAGGAGGAGGAGAGGAGGAGGGAGGAGGAGGAGGAGGAGGAGAAGGAGGAGGGGGAGAGGAGAGGACCAGGAGGAGGCGGAGGAGGAGGGAGGAGGAGGAGGACCGGGCGGGCCGACCCTGACGGGCGGGTCGGGCGGAGGGGGGGGCACCACAAGAGCAGGCGAACGGGTGGACCCCCAAAGGGCAGGTCGGGCGGAAGGAAAAAAGAACTGCCGGGTCGAGCAAAACCGAGAGCACGATTCCTGATCGGCGAGCGGGAGCGCGGCTGCTCCGTAGTGTGTGAGGACGTCTCAGGCGAGACCGCGACGCCCAGGGCAATCGTGAGAAGGTCCTTGGCGAGGAGCAGGATTCCGGAGCGGCGAGAGCGCGAATCCTGGGTGAAGGTTGAGCAAGTCCCAGGCGAGAGCACCGTCTGTGGACCAGAAGACAAACAACACCACCCCAGACCTGCGGCCCCAGGGGGCTTAGCGTGCACTGGGAAATCTGGCGTGGGCTTGTGCGTGGTTAGGGATCCCACAAAGGACGTACGCGCCCAGCTATGTACATGAACGCGGTCCCTTGACCCGCGAGACCGGCCGCGTGCTGCGAACATTCGCGCAATGCGAACTCTCGAAACCAGCGTGGATTCATGTACGTGTACGTCCTGCTTTCGCTCCTGAGTGGCATACGCCACGGCGCCCGATGGGCCGCAGCGCAACACGGAGGGCCAGGAGGGGGGGTGTCGTTTGTTTCCTGGTCGAAGGGCGGCTCGAGCGAGAGCGCAATGTCTCGAGAAGCTGCGAGGTCTCGAGTGGGAGCCGTGGCTGCTGCAGCCGGGGGTCCAGGGGCAGAGAGCTCGACGCTGGTGCTCGAGACTCCCCCCTTGCAACAAAAAAAAGGGAGCGAGAAACTAGGGGCGTACTTTCAGAGAAACTGTGGGCGCTGCTCCCAGGTCTCCCACGTCGTGCCTTCTGCACACCGTCCACCGCCAAAAGGTCTCTACCCCTTCCCCTGGACTGGCCTTTCACCGTGAGTCGTATTTTTTGACGCTCCCGAGGCCCGGCAAGGACCCCCGGAGGCCGAAAATAGCGAAACAAAACTCCCGTCGCGATGTTGTTCACAACGCGAGGGGGTCTGGATTGGGGGGATGACCGATAAGCACTATTCCAGGGTGAGGGCTCAACCCGGGCAGCGAGGGAGGGGCCAGAAAGAGTGAGAGCAAGAGCAAGAGGAAGAGGAAGAGGGAGAGGGAGACCGAGAGCAAGGGAGGAGGAAGAGGAAGGGGAAAAGGCAAGGAAGAGGAAGAGGGTGAGGGAGAGGAAGATGAAGATATAAAGAGAAAGAAGGAGAGAGAATGGGGGGACCAGAAAGGTACTGAGGTGTAAGTGGAAAGAGAGAGGGACCGAACGAAAGAGAGAGCGAACGGGGCCAGAGAAGCGCCGATAATGGCAATTGCACGAGCAGTGCCCCTATCCTTCATCATGTCGGCGGACATCTTCATGGCGCTAGACCTAAGCGGCCGTGCCCAATCCTCCTCCCCCTCCTCCTTCTGCGCCCAGGATTTAACAAAGTGGTACAACACATCACACCCTGAATCGAATTATGGAAAAAAGGGGATGGCGGATCGGCCCACCTTTCTGCAAAAAGGCCTTCGATTCCCCCGAGGGGGCCCCGTCAGAACACCCACACCCCCAACTCTGCGAAGCTGGGCGAGGGCTGCTAAAACCGTGGCTGCTAAAACGGCCCTCCCGGAAGGAAAAAACAACTTCCCGGAATGAGGCGCGGCACGCGAAACAGTCAACGGGCTTCTTCCCGGAAGGACGAAGACAACTTCCCGGAGGTCGATTTTAGCAGCCACGGATTTAGCAGCCCTCGCCCGGCTTCCGAAACTCGCACGCGGTTCTCGAGGCAATCCCTGCCTCCACAGAGCAACGCCTGCACCTGGCGGTTCTCCCCTGGGCTGCCGCAGGCATGAGGATGGGCGTGCCGGAGCTCCGCCCGGCGCCCGCCCCGCGGCCGCCCGCGGGCGCTGCGTGGCGCGCCGAGGCTCCGCCTGGGACCCGCCCGTGGCCGCCCGTGGGCGCCTCCTCCTCCTCCTCCTCCTCCGCCTCCTCCTCCTCCTCCGCCTCCTCCTCCTCCTCCTCCTCCGACTCCGACTCCGACTCCTCCTCCTCCTCCTCCTCCTCCGCCTCCTCCTCCTCTCCTCCTCCGCCTCCTCCTCCGCCTCCTCCTCCTCCGCCTCCGCCTCCTCCCTCTCCTCCTCCTCACCCCCTCCTCCGCCTCCTCCGTCGCCTCCTCCTCCGCCCCTCCTCCGCCTCCCTCCTCCTCCTCCTCACCCCCTCCTCCGCCTCTCTCCTCCCTCCTCCTCCTCCTCCTCCTCCCTCCTCCTCCCCTCCTCCTCCTCCTCCTCCTCCTCCTCCTCCTCCGGGTGTCTGTGTCCTCCTCCTCCTCCTCCTCCGCCTCCTCCTCCTCCTCCTCGCCTCGCCGCCCCTGCCAGGCTTCCAAGGCGATTCCCTTCGGGAGCGAGAGAAACAAAGGGAGGGAAAACGAGATGGCGAGCCCTTCTCTCACAGATCGGCCTGCTGGAGGAGCCCTTCTTCCACACAGGGGCCTCTGCACACGTCCCAAAAGCCCTTCTGTCACACAGGGCCAAAGTGTCATCTAGTTTCGGCTGGTAAATTGTCAAGCTAGCTCTCATGGGAATTCCCCCCGTCCCTCCCAGGGCCTCGTGGCGCCACGTGCCCTCGCGCGACAATTCCACTCCGAGGCCGAGGTTTAACGGAGCCCCTCTGCAATTGCGTTATTGCCCGTGGCTCTTCTGCACGATCGCTCCTCCTACATTCTGAAGAACAACCTGCTGGCCGGGCTGGTGTCGGAACTCCCGCCATCTCCTGCAGCAGAAACTGCATCTGCGATGCACATGCGTTAGACTACGTAAAAGGTCTGTCCCTAAGGGTCCCTTCGAAAATGCATTACGGGCCACAGGCGCGCGCCGCCGCGAGCACACGGCGAAAGATTTCAACAGCACGTTTCTGACGTCAAGGCATGGCGAGTGACAAACAGTGATCCATCAGTAACACTTGCGAGACTTCTGCGCGCACGCTCGCTGACAGCTGAAGAAAACAAATCCGAATGCGAGCATGCGGGCCAAATTGCGCGCGCATGTCAAGACAATCTAATCACCATCGCGCGCCCACCAGCTCTGTTAAAGAATCCCATGCTGGCCACACGCGCACGTGTCCGCGCCCGCGTGCGTCGAAATGGATCCAAAACCAGTGTTTGGCAATCCGTTCAACAACATAGCATAACCAGACGGATGTCCATAAAAAATGACCAGAACAACAACAGAACAAAAACACGTGACGGTGTGTGATGTTATGCGGGCGCACACGTTCTCATCATGCTCAACCAGACAGGCGTGATCGTCATCGTAAACAACAGCATTGCCATCGGCATCAGCATCAGCATCAGCATCAGCATCATCATCATCATCATCATCATCATCATCATCATCAGCATCATCATCATCATCATCATCATCATCATCATCATCATCATCATCATCATCATCATCATCATCATCATCATCATCATCATCGTCAATGTGATCACCATCCATAGGATAATCGTCACCCTTGTCATCGTTGAAGCCGTCGCCTTCGTCAAATGACCGCGCGCAGGCAACTTCTCGGTGCCATCATATCCAGCATCATCGTCATCGTCGTCGCCAGCGTCATCGTTGCCACCGTACCATCATCTTCATACCATCACAATTGTCATCGACGACACAGTATCGGCACCATATCTACTGTCATCGGCACCAGCGTCGTCACAACTGCCATCGCTATCGTCGCTCGCGTCGCGCCCGTCACCATCGCCACCAGCATTTCGCAGCCTGGAAGACGAACTCAAGTGCGCGGGTGAGTTTCACGCGCCCGTGCGCTCATTGGCATCACGGCCATCTGAACTTTGCCAACAATCGCGAGTGGGTGAACGGGATGTCTGCATCAGAACAACAGGTGGTCACGAACGGATGCTGCGCAGTGGGTGAATTGCAATACACAGCTTCTACCACACTCCTCGCACCGCATAGCTTACACCATCTAGCTTACATCACATAGCTTACTCCACACAGCTTACAACACACATGCTACTTTACATACACAGATCGCACCGCATTTCCTGCGTCGCATAGCTTGCACCAAGTAGCTTACACTGCATATCTTACACCACGTAGTTTACACCACGTAGCTTACACCACCTAGGTTGCATCACATAGCTTACATCGCATATAAGATGTCCTATCTAGTATGTGGATATGTGTAGAATCTAAAATTTGAAATACGTGCACATACATGCGTCACCGCATAGCTGGTACCACGTAGCTTACACGTCCGCAGTGCAATACCTTACTGCATGGGGCCCGCTCTGGCAAACAGCTCGAGAACAGCGTCTTAAGTCTCATCAGATATGAGGCCATCTGACCTCGTCAGGACGGCTTGGCGGGGCGCCCTCGGGGCCTCCCCGAGGCTTCTAGGGGATCTCTCGGAGATCTCTTGGGGAGGCCCCTGGGGGCCGCTCGAAACCCTATGAGTCGCCCACCAGGGGATTACTGTGGGCTCTGGGGGGTCGTGGGACTGCTCGGAAGGCCTCCCAGGGGGTCGCAGGGCCGCCCGGGCACGTCTCGGGGCCATGTTTCGGCGCCGTCGCAGCCGTTCTCCGAGCGGTGCAGATCCAATCCGCTGTCTTGGCACCGTCTCGGCGCGGCCCGAGGCCCTCTGAGACACGTCGCGGAGGGCCCTGGAGGAGTCTCCGACGCATTTTGGGCGCTCTCCGGCGGCCCTGGCCCCAGGGGTCGCGGAACGAACTCGAAGACTATCGCGGTCCAGGGCCGCAGTGTGTGCTGTATGGATTATCCGAAATCGTTTTGGCCTCACTGTGGCTTCGCGGAGAGCTCAGGGAGTGCCCTGGTGGCCTTACGGAGGCCCTCGCTAGAAACGGCATCCCTCGAAGACCCATCCGAGATCCCCGTGAAGCCGCCTGAAAGGTATCGTGAAGGAGGAGCCTTCGAGACTCAGCGGGCCAAAATATCGCAGAAATGGAAACGCTTCGAAGCGAAAGGCGGGGATCTACAGACAATAGTCCACACAGCACTCGACACAACAGTCCACACAACAACCTGCGTCGCAAGGACCAGAACGTAGCGCCAATACAACTCGCTGTAGCGACAGCGGAACCAACGATATGCTGAAGTTGGAAAAGAAAAAAAAACAAAAAAAAAAAAAAAAAAAAAAAAAAAAAAAAAAAAAAACTGACGAAGGAACCAACCATATGCAGTTGCGAGTACCACAAGGCAGGTTGAACGAAGGAGAAAAAACTTTATATGGGGCCACAAAAAGTTTCAGGGGTGTGCCGCCATGTGTGCGGTGGGCGCATACGAACGCAGCCATTGGGGCCTTCGGTGGGGCTCCCTGTGGGGCCACGAAACGTGCAAGAGGTGTGCCGACATTGGTGTTGTGGGCGCATTGGAACGCAGCCACTAGGGCCTTCGGTGGAGCTCCCTATGGGGGGCCACGAACCGTGTGAGGGGTGTGCCGAACTGGGTGCGGTGGGCGCATGCGAGCGCAGCCATTAGGGCCTTCGGTGGAGCTCCCCATGGGGCCACGAAACGTGTGAGGGGTGTGCCGAAATGGGTGCGGCGGAGCATGCGAACGCAAGAATTGGAGCCTTCGGTGGAGCTCTCCGTGGGGCCACGAAACGTGTGAGGGGGTTGCCGAAATGGGTGCGGTGGGCGCATGTGAACGCAGCCACTGGGGTGTGCCGAAATGGGCGCGGTGGGCGCATGCGAACGCAGCCACTGGGGCCTTCGGTGGAGCTCCCCGTGGGACCACGAAACGTGTGAGGGGGTGTGCCGAACTGGGTGCGGTGGGCGCATGTGAACGCAGCCACTGGGGCCTTCGGTGGAGCTCCCTATGGGGTCACGAAACGTGTGAGGGGTGTGCCGACATGGGTGCGGTGGGCGCATGCGAACGCAGCCACTGGGGCCTTCGGTGGCGCTCCCTATGGGGCCACGAAACGTGTGAGGGGTGTGCCGACATGGGTGCGGTGGGCGCAAATGAACGCAGCCAGTGTGGCCTTCGGTGGAGCTCCCTATGGGGTCACGAAACGTGTGAAGGGTGTGCCGAAATGGGTGCGGTGGGCGCACATGAACGCAGCAACTGGGGCCTTCGGTGGAGCTCCCTGTGGGGCCACGAAACGTGTGAAGGGTGTGCCGACACGGGTGCGGTGGGCGCATGTGAACGCAGCAACTGGGGCCTTCGGTGGAGCTCCCTATGGGACCACGAAACGTGTGAAGGGGTGTGCCAAAATTGGCGCGGTGGGCGCATGTGAACGCAGCCACTGGGGCCTTCGGTGGCGCTCCCGATGGGGCCACGAAACGTGTGAGGGGTGTGCCGAAATGGGTGCGGTGGGCGCATGCGAACGCAGCCAGTGTGGCCTTCGGTGGAGCTCC